TCAAAAGCAGATAAAGCTCCCAAGTTAGGATCACACTTGAACTATGGGAGGATTGAGAAAAATATTGCATTATGTTTGTTAGCTTTTGTTGGTTCATTCGCTTGGGTTTTTTGGCTGATACTATGGACTATCATGGTTCTACATGATGTATAATGTGTTTATTATTTTTCTTAACAGCTCCCATTTGTTTAATAGAGACATATGGGTCTGCGAGATTAACTCTGTAGCAACAATGAAATGTTACAGCAAAAAAAAAGGTTATAATTTTGCATTCAATGCTAAAGTAGTATATGGTAGTATTCTAGCTGTTTTGTAAAATATCAGTTGATTTTTCAAATGTTTAAAATATTTTTCCTTCTTTAAAATGCTCTCATTCCAGATGGACTTTGACTTATTTATAAAAATGGATATGTGCTCTGTAGATATTTGTAAAAATGAGAAGTTATTAAAGTTTCTATCTAAAGTAATGTTGGATTGCTTCATTCATTTTTTTTATTATAAATTTGAGGTCAGAATTATTAGCCCCTCGACTATTTTTTCCCCTTTTTTCTGTTTAATGGAGATTTTTTTCAACACGTTTCTAAACATAATAGTTTTAATAACTCATTTCTAATAACTGATTTATTGTATCTTTGCCGTGATGACGGTGAATAATATACTAGTAGATATTTTTTAAGATACTAAAAGATATTAAAGTGACATTTAAAGGCTTATCTAGGTTAATTAGGTTAACTAGGCAGGTTAGGGTAATTAGGTAAGTAATTGTATAACGATGGTTTGTTCTGTAGACTATCAAAAAAAAAAAAAAAACTTTAAGGGGCTAATAATTTTGACTTTAATATGGTTTATAAAAAATGTAAAACTGCTTTTATTCTAGCCGAAATAAAACTAATAAGACTTTTTCCAGATGAAAAAAATATTATCAGACATACTGTGAAAATTTCCTTGTTCTGTTAAACAACATTTAGGAAATATTTTAAAAAGAAAACAAAATTCAAAAGGGGACTATAATTCTGACTTTAACTGTATATAATACAGTGTGTTTTTTTCTTTTACAAATTTAGGGTGTCCGCAGAGTCTTAAAATGCTTTCAATTTAAAAAAACGCAATATTTTAGGCCTTAAAATGCTTAAATTCACAGAAATATTGTGTTGTGTGTCTTAAGTTATTTTTAACAGATCCTAATTTTCCTCTGTCCAAGTAAAGCTACCCGATCAGGCCGACATCCATCCAATCACCTACAATCCATCTTAATAAAATCAATTAGGTTAAGTTTATACTTTTTTATTGCAAAGAGTTACAATTCACAATAGCTGTTAGACATTTTGTCAAGCAATTAATCCAAATTAAATTCCCTAATTCCCAGGGAATGAAAACCAAAAACAATTATACAGTTCCTCATGTTAATACCAGAGCAATATATCCCTTTACGTTATCTTCTATTCATACAAAAACTCTTTACAGAAGTAAGGGGGAGTAGACATAATATTTTTTAAGAAGTCAAGAAGCTTAAGGTTTTATAACAGAAAAGCATTAGTTTGTATAGAAGTTATACTCAATCAATTTGGACCAGAAGCCAACAGATATATATTTTTGAATATTTATGTAATTAATTATTTAATTATGTAAATATATATATATATATACATATTTTTTTTTACAAATTATGTATGGAGCTAATGATATGCAAAGACAATCTGAATTTGAATTGCGGTCATTTGAATTATTGACAATTGTAATTTAATAAATCTGCATTTTTTTAGCATTAAAAATTGTTTTGAATTTCAGAATTTGAGTAGTGAACATTTGAAATGAAAGAAAACTGAATTTTTCAAGGATGATTTTATAGACGTATTTCTATAAATGTTGACGTATTTATAGACGTTTTTCTTCAGATTTCGTGTTCTGAATTCATCAACTGCAGATATTGCGTTTGTAAGAATACAGTTTCAGGTTTTCAAGATGAAGAAATACAAAACATCAAATTCAATATTCTAAAATTCAAAACCAGAAATTCAGATCGTGAAATTCAGATTCTGCAGAAAGTAGGTCGGGAGTGATCAAGGGGGAAGACTAGACGATCACCGAAAAGTGCAACTAGGAATCACTCACCTACTTGATTCATGGTTTTGGACGAATTACAGGATGTGAATTACGAGTTTGGGGGCATCTGGAAATTGGTCAAAATAAATGTTATTTTATTTATCTACATATAGTCTAATGTAAAATTTAACTCATGTATTTTATCTTTAAGAATAGGGAAGGGCTGATTTTGGTTTCGGGTTAACGTAAATAAAACAAACATGTTGAAAACTCAAATAGCTACTCTATTCACAACAATATAGACTTAACACCTCGTATGTTGTTACCATTTAAATAAAGTTTAAGCACCTAACAAATGAGGCTAACAAGAAATCTCTGAGCGACTCATTCATAAAGTCACTTAATTAATTTATAAATTAATGAGCCGATTCAAATGAATCTGAATGAAAAATTCAGTGACAGAGAGAGATTTGGCGCCACCCACTGGACATTTTGGTTTGGTTTTAGTCAAAAATGATATTTTGAAATGTACGGAAAATTTTGTAAATGCATCTACTAAAAAAAATCATGTTTAAAAATTTCAGTTGTCTTAAATTTCAGATGTTCAAATTTAAAATCAAAAAACAATTCTTACGGCATATAAAAATGCAGATCTATTCAATTACAACTGTCAATAATTCAATTTAACATTCCTGCTGGTACACAATAGTGAATGCTGCTCGCTGGCTGTAGGTAATCACCGATGTTATTTTCAATGAGATCACATTCACACGGCATGATTTAAATCAGCGATTCATCGGCGATTCTCTTATGCCTAGTTCAGACTGCGTGATTTTAGCCCCGATTTTGACTCGCCGACAGGTTTTGAGATATCGCCGACAAATGCCTGAAATTACAGGCAAATCGCTGCTCGTGCACGTGAGTGACAATCACACAGCATGATATCAAAGACGCCATCTGAGACAATCGCTGATTAGTCGCCGATGCCTGTGAGATATTTGACGTGCTAAATATCTGGAGCTGTCGGCGATTCAAATCATGCCGTGTGAAATGAATTTTGACTGAAAATAACATCAGCGATCGCCTGAAGCCAATGAGAGAGCAGCAGCCAATTGTGTGTGTGTGTGTGTGTGTGTGTATACATGCAGGCCAGCGGGAGGCTGGGGGAGAAGTTAAAAGCGCTCAGGACGAAAAACTAGTGTCGGTTTGACAGGATTTAGGAGCACCTGTGTCTGTTTGACGTTTCATACAGAAAGAAATTAGTTTGTTATTAACTTAAGTTAAGGAGAAATGGCTAATTCTCTTTAAACCCAGGTGAGCAAATATGTACATTTTCTACCCCATTAAAAGCTTCTTTCTCATTATGTAGTTAATAACAAAAGATATACTACGTGTTTTTGGCTGTGAAAAGTAGTTTGGACGAAGTTGGCGATTCTTTGTATTGTAAAGTCATGCAACGTGAAAGTCCCTGTCGCCGATCTATTTTGCAGTGTTAACACAGCAGCGACGAAACGCTAGCCCAGATAGTCATGCAGTTTGAAACATCTGTGACACGACTATGAAAATCACGCAGTCTGATCTAGGCATGAGATGATAGTTCACATTGTGATTGTTACTCACGTGCACGAGCACCGATTTGCCTGTGATTTCAGGCATTTGTCGGCGATTTCTGAACTCGGCATTAGCATCTAAATCAATTTTACATAGATATAATTTGAAACTAAATAGATTGTTGTATGTTTTACGAGATGCTGTAATAAATTTGAACGCATTGTTTTTATTTTACCACGCATGTGTAGACCATGAAACATTAGGTCATGAATATTTACTTGAAAGTCTTGGAAAAGTCATGGAATTTTAGTAGTAAAAATGTGTATGAAGCGTATTAGTAGTTTGGACAAACAAAAGATGACAACGGTATAATCTGATTTCTTTAGCTTTATTTACAGGCAATAGTGCTCAATCCATGTAACCATGCAGCTACACTTGGGGAATATGTCAGAGACTGATCGTTTCCTTCATGTTTCTTGTTGTCATAACAACTGGGAAAAAGCTAACACTGATGAAAGAGAACTGCAAGTTTCCAAAAGTAAAAGTACAACTAAAAGTGGACTACAAACCAGTTTCAAATATTTGTCAACATCAGCATGATCAGCATGTTTTTTTTTTCTGTTGTTGTTTTTTTTGAAGAGTTCACATCCAGACTACAGCAAAATATATAAATACCTACAATATATGGTCTCTCTCTCTCTCTCTCTCTCTCTGATAATGAATATTACTACACACAGAATGCATATACTTTGCATATATTTGTTAACATTTATGTTAATGATGATGAAAATAGATAAATCTTAGTAACATATGTACAAAGCTGTAAAACACTGTACCGACAAAGCATCTGGAACAAAGTTACAATCAAAAAAAAGTTCTCAACCGTTTTATTCATTGTGTGTTTAATCCTCACAGTAGCATAAAGCCCTTAAATGTACTTGGATACAACATACTGTGCATATAGGGCGTACACATACTAGATTATGTCTTTTTTTTGTTTTGGATGCAACGTCGTCCCCATTGGTACATTCCTACTGAATGGATCATTACTATCATAATGCCCTTCAAGCATTCCATTTCCCACCAGCTGTACTTCAAAGATCAGCAAACGCTTACCAGTGGAAAATCTACAGCTTATTTCAGATACTGTATGTACGCTGTTGAGGTGTCTGGTTGTTCCTTTTTCTCACATGAGGATCATTTATACAGCATGCTTATATTAAAAAGTAAAAAGTCCAGATGGTAACAGACAATCATACCAAAATACGTAAATCATCTGATATAAACAACCTGTATATACACACACATTCTAAAAAAAATATATGTACAAATACATAAATATATAAATACAGCCTCTGTTATACAAAAATAAATAGTTTCTCTTTTTTAATCCTCCTTTTTGTTGTAGTATTCTTGTTTCATCCATCTTCTGGATCATGTGTCCCTTGTTCCTCAAGCTGCTTTGTGTTCTCAGTTGTTCCCTCTTGTTGTGGCTCAGCTTGTTGGAGTAGCCGGTTTATGCTGGCCTCGGCTATTGATAACAGGGTTAAATCTGTGGGAAGAATAAACATTTATTGATTACAGTTGGATTTCAAACTGCAGTTCATTTGTCTTGATGCATAAAGCAGAAGTGAACGCACCGGCAGTGAGCTCTTCTTCTGTGTGAATGCATTCGTTGAGCGAGTGGTCGTCCTGAGACTGCAGTGGAGCGTCTGACAGACTGAAGAGCCGCAGAGGAGAATCATCAGACACACAGAACCCCTCTTCAGGACAGCCAGGAACCCTGAGAACAGCACAAAAACACAGTTTAAATTCAGTTCTGGGGTTTCTTCACCTAAACATGTACATTTCCCTGACCATTAACTCACACTCAAAACCTTTAAGAAGTTCTTTCCTCAGCAAGATAACCTGAGGAATGTTGGTGGGGAAAGCAGCCATTGGCATCCATACCAGGAACTAAAAATATTATGAAAGTCAATGACTGTCCAACATTCTTCAGTAGATCTTTTTTTAGTGAGTAGAAGGAAACTCAAACTGGTTTGGAACAAGTGAAGTGGGAGTAAATGATGGCAGAATGTTCAGATGATGGGGATTAATGAGGGGGACACTGAACGATTTTAAGCCCAAAGGGCAAAACCAATTTTTGGCTGAAAGTGAAATAAAATAAAAAGATCCTGGAAGAAATACTGGCTGACATTATCCATGTATTTTCCATTAGAATTACAGGTGGGCATAGATTTATTTTTTAAATCTAGATTCATCTTACAGTAATCTTGAAATGAATCTAGATTAAAATGGCTCATTTGGATTCTGCCGAAGTCATTCAGAATATGTGTGCTGCCCAAATAATGACCTAATGTAAGTCAGGTGGCGCATTAAGCAGGTCGCACACCAGAAGCGCCGCTCCGCCACACAGCGCCATGCATTTCAAAATTCTAAACATAGGTTTCTATGTATACACACTGGCGCCGGAAGTCCGCGGTGACCAGCCACGACTCAGGACACTGTTCATATTTCTGCCACGCCACAGAGAGCCATCTGATTAGTTTCATGGTAAATATCATGCGAATGTGCGCATCTAGTGTGCGATACTTTTAACTGTTATGTGCGCACCGTGTCACGGCGTCGAGTGGCGCATCCGGTGTGTGAGCTGCTTTAGACCTCCTGTAGATCACCTGTTTCCAAAATGCATCACAAACTGCTTGAGAAACTGTTCTACTATGATAAATGGAGATGAAAATAAATGAAGTTCAATAAGCGATCAAACAATTACCGTCATGCAAGACCCAACCCAACTTTGAGAATAGATTAATAGCGATATTTTTTTTCATGCGATATTAGTCTTGTGTTAATGCTGCATGTTAACGCCGATAACGACCCACCACTAATTAAAATATCTCATGAAGGTAGGTTTAATACTTCATTCCTGCTTTGCTATTTGTAAACCTGTAAAGCAGTTCAATTTGACTGTTGAAAGAACTGAAAGCTCAATCAAATATTAATGTCACTCAAAAGAATTGTTGCTGTTGTTATATGAACTGATATTAAATTATATTATCTTAAACAATTGGAAAAATCATTTTCATCAAATTAAACAGTCTAATAATAATAATAATACAATCAACATGATTGATGATCTTGATTAATTCAACATTTTATCTCCATTACGATTGATGAACGATTATTTTATTTATGTATTTACATTTTTTTGCCCTCTCCACACTTGTCAACATTACCAAGCTGACCAATCACAGAGCTTGAGCTATATGTCATCACAACATGTAGTTACATTATTTGAGAGGTCAGCTTCGGCGTCAGTCACAGCAAGGGGTATGCAAATGCATGAAGGCTGTGCCAGCCCAGACCATACGCTGCGCTTGATGCAGAAGTGTAAACAGACCAGGGTCACGTAACCCCACACGCGGTTGGGGTACGTAATTGAAAAAATTGACCTAACAAAATTTGATTGATTATAAGTTCTGAATATTGATTACTTTTCGATTAATCACCCAGCCCTACAATAAAAGAAGTCATTTCTGATTTCATTTTTCATCCAAGTTCATTGTGAATTTGTGGTTTTGGCCCATAACTTTAATTTTAGTGCCTCATTACTCACAACCTCTTTTATGTCCCTAATGTGACACATTTACAAACAATCAAAATCCAACGGTCAAATAATCCTTGTTTGCATATTTGTCAGACAAAAACAGCATGCATTTCCATTAAGGCTGTAGTTTAGCACATGCTCACATTCTTTACTGTTGATGAAAAATCAAAATACAGACTTTTAAAATGCATTTCTTTTCTCTCTTGAATCAATTCTGAGTTTAGATTTAACAGCAGATGGCGCTCTAGACTCCTTTTTAACTGAACTCAAAGGCTCACAATTAACACAGCTTGTGGGTTCTGCCGAGTCATGTAAGTTGGCTTTAATGTCATGACATCATTGTAAACACAGCTCACTATGAACACTTGTAATTTGCTCAAACCTCTCCCAACTTTATTAATTATTATTTTTAGGTTCAAGATGAATAGTAACTAAGCAATAGGGATTCAAGCAGAGTATGGCTGTTTGTAAACATACAGCGCCATCTGCTGTTATAAATGTATCAATACTAGAGAGAATAGCGATGCTTATTTTTTGATAACGTCACAATTGATGCAAAAATCTTTACTGTCAACTGCTATCTTATTTCCTTAATGGATTTTTCAGACTATACAGATAAAAAGACACAATCGCTTCAGTATCACAATAACATAAATCAACGTTTAAAAGTAATACTGGCACTTATAAGTGGACTGTTCTTAATTATAACAAAATAAAAAGCCCTTACCCGTTACAGTAATTGTGAATGTTTTGTTGCTGATTGGGAAGGTTCTGAGGCAGCAGAGCATCACACTCCAGCTCATAGTTGGGATCCTCCTGTTAGACATAGAGAAGATTCAACAATAACATTCACTGTTGTTTAATACCTATTATGTTGAACACAAAAGAAGATATTTTGAAGAATGTTGGAAACCACTGACCTCTATAGTATTTCTTATTCTTACTATGGAAGTCAATGGCTACCATTTTTCAACATTCTTCAAGTTAACTCAGAAATGTTTGCAACCACTAGAGGGTGAGTAAACTCTCAGTTTTGGATGAACTGTTTGTTTGTTGGTCAAGCTGGTGTGTGGTCATACCTGGTGTCCAGGTGGCAGGCGCTGAGCGGCATGTTTTCCATTGGGAATGTATTCTGCTTTAGGAGCGTATACGGTGTGGGACGGGCTCAGATGAGGGTCTACAGGACAGGCCCGACCCAGAGCCAATCCCTGCAGCGGGACCATGGTATACTGGCATGGAGAAACCGTAGCGGCCAGAGTTGGAAAGCGCATGTCTAATGTTTGTTCTGAAAATACAAAAAAAACATTCAGTTTAATACGTCAACATTTAGTTTAATTAGTCCTGTGAGTATCTGTGATTTAAATAAAAATAATAATTAGCTGCTGTAATATTTAAATCAAAGCATCTTCCTCTCCTTACAAAGACACCTCTAGCTTGATAATGCATTTATTAGTGAGAACCTGTCACTTATGAGATCTACCAATAGAAAACAACAATCATCCAATTAGGTCTGACAACTAAAAACACTTGGTTTTCATCGGATTTTGTAAATAAGAACTGACCATTATTATTCATATATTTTTTAAGAATTATAGGCCATTTTGCCTATATTTGACAGAACTGTAGAATGACAATAAGTAAAAAAGAGAGAGGGTGGGATGGGACAGGATCGGAAATGTTGCGATGTGATGTTGCGATATATGTCGGCGCTCTAACCACTGGGCTATTGCACCGACTGACCAATATTTCTTCTATTGAGAATCACATTTTTATATCGCTATTATTATTTACAGTACTGCAAGATTTACATAACATTTTAAGCATTACATAAAATAAAGTGTTTACATTATATTTGATGTAGAAATTGTGGAACTAACAAATAAACGGGTGTGTGAAACTGACAACAAAAAAAGATACCATTAAATAATGTCTCAATATATATAGAATTATGATAATTGACCAATAAATAAAATATAAATACGACATTAAAAATAGCTGTAAAATGATCAAATCTCTACAGCACATTTGGGATCTTTCTTGTGTTGATATTCATCATCACACATTAAGTGTAATTACTAAGTCAAATATTTGACAATTTCAGCAAGCACATTGATAAAACAACAATTATAAATGTTCATATATCATATGCCATAAATATAACACACGCCTAAATCCAAATTTTGATGGATAAAATAAAGGCAAACTCCCTATTTTTTTTCTAATTGGAGAATGGGGCTGCAAAATAGATCATTTTCAGTATCGATATCGCAATGTGATCATTCACAATAGTCACATCACAGAATATGAATTAGAATTGACCATTTACAAGTGTTTTTTTAGGTCTGTGACTGTATAAGATTTTAAAAGCATTCAGGCATAAGAAATTGTACTGTTTGTAACTTTAATAACAATTAATTTTATTGAATTGTTTATACAACAAAGACTATGTAGTATTTTTACATTTAATTATTTAATTCTCATAAAAGGATAAAACACTGTTTATTTAATTTGTCTCTGTTTTTATTGAATTCATCTGTGCTTGATGTTGTTTTATGCAGATGCCCTCCGCTACAGAATCATCCTTATCAATCAATTAAAATGACCAATTCTTTCCAAATAAATATTTAAGTCATATATTAAAATTGTATTCATATCAGAATACATAAATCAAACAATAACAAAATATTGCATTGTTCGATTTTCCCAATATCGTGCAGCCCTATCGGAGAAGTTACGCACAATAGAACGGAAAAGACTGCAGCAACTTATAACTTTAATAATAAAAATAGTTGAGTAAACATGAAGCTGTACTTACTTTGTTTAGCCCAGACTCTCCACAGGCAGATTGGGATGAATGCCACGATGATGAAAACGAACGCTCCGAGCACAACACCCACTATGAGGTAAGGCAGATCTCCAGGCCGGGGAACAGGGTTTCCTGGATGCTCGGGTCTGGATGATGCAGTCTCCGGGGGAGTGGTCCTCTGGTGAGGGCGAGCTGAAAATACAGACAGATGTTCACACACTTCAGAAGATGTTCAGAAGAGAGCTCTGTGCTGGACATTGGCTGAGGTTCGGTTCACAAAGTGAGGAAGAGGAAAAGCAAACAAACCTTTAGTTTCTAAAATGACGACATTGCCGAACTCGCTCTCTCCTCCTTCATTGAAACACTGCATCTTAATGTCATAAGCTGTTTCGGGTTGTAGGTCTGTGATGGAGTGCCAATATCGGTCACCTAAAAAGAGCACAAAGACATTATGTTTTACATTCCTTTAAGATTGAAATTTGAAAACAGATCTTTTTTTTTAAAAGGGCACTTATTTTACGCGAATGTTTAACTTTGCACTGTTTTTGCATGGGAAATGTGACAGGATACAGGTTAATATCCACTGCTCTATGGACATCTGTCGTGTTAATGTACAAAATAAACCTGATGTAACATCCACAAACCGAGATTAAAGCATCTTCTTTTTATAATTGTACTGACAAGCGGCTGTGGTGATCTTTAATTTACTTTATTACAAACATGCAATTTTCAAAAACATTTTAAACTTGTAAAACTCATTCTTGATCACATTTGATGGTGATTGATGACCACAGAGAGCTGAACACATCCTGTAATCCCGGTTGCTTTGCGCATGTCCTGTCTTGTTGATTTTATTATACGCGTTACTACTGAGACATGTTAATACGTGTCGGTCTATCCATCCGGTGGGCGGGGAAACCGCACTCCTACGCATGTTGAGGTGGGCCTTAAAATAGGAGGGATCTGGATCCTATTTTAATGTCATGAAATAATTGTTTTAAAAGAGACTTATTGTCTTTATATCACTCCAATATTACTGTGGAGACGTTATATATACCCACAAAAGGAAACAAAAGATGATTTTCATTATAGGTGCCCTTTAAAATTCAGTCTATAGAGCAGTGAGGCACACCAACAGCACACATTTTCAACCTCTCTCTAATCAAACACACCTCAATCAACTCATCAGAACATTGGAGGAGACTCCAAAACCTGAAATGAAAGGCTCTAAAAAGGCATACACACAGTTAGTGTGCATACAGGAACAGGGTTGGGAAACACTGCTATAGAGGTCAAACATGTCAAAACAAATTTACGAAAAAGGTTTCATATTTTAATATTTCTTCTGTTTTCACTGACTGATTTCTTTGCCAGTATCAGGCTTGATGATAACATCAAACAAATAATGCATCTTAAGGATATTAAGTCAGCGTTTAGATAACGCTTCTGTAGTTCTGATTAAAACATGCATTATTTTTTTATATACTAAAGGCTAAGTAGGTTTTCAGGGTGATTATTACACTCTCCATGATGAAAAACAAGTTTAATTTTGAGGAATTGTTTTTTATTGTGCAGTTTTGCAGTTTCACATTTAACAAAGTCAATTTTAGTACCTAAAAATAAGCTTAAATGGTGCTGTTATGAAATATTCTAGATTTAGTGTGCCAATTTTAGTCCTGAAGATCTTGGGTGCTTTTTGTACGAAATGTAAAATAGATTTATGAAAAAACACATGAGTGTCAAATATTACAATTTTTTGCCAAAATTTGTGTTTCTTAAATGCTGAATATGGACATGGACTTTTGTCAGTCAGCCAGTCCAAGCGCTTCCAGTGAAGTATTTCTATTACAAAATCGCAAAAATCTGTTTAAAATCTGTTTAATTGTTTAAAATCTGGTTTGTTTTAAAAGCGATCTTCACTGCCTGATAGATATACCATATAAAGTGGGTCTCAGATTGGACAAGAAGCCCTGCATTAAATTCCATTTCCCCCCGGTCATGTCTTAAATTTATTTTACCTCAGCATTTTCAAAGAAGTTTCTGCGCTAACCTGCTGCTACTGATAGCACTAGCGTTTACACAGTCTTTCATCTTGTTTAACTAAATGAATGCTTAAGTCTATTTAACTGATTGTATTTTATTTTATTACAACATCAAAGCTGTAAAAGGAACCTATTGGAAAATAGTCACATTAATCTTTCACTGGAAGTCCATCGATGGCTAAAAAACACTTGCTGTGCATGTATTCCATTAACAGCTAAAAGGATCACACGCAGACATACACACACGCACACACACACAAACACACACACACACAAAAACAAAAGAAGGCAAGAGAGATAAACAAGACTGACCTTCCACCACATCTTTTTTGTAGTCGCTGTCGTTGTCACTATCGGTGGGTCGGTAGAAGATGTAGAATCCATAAATGGGGGTGTTATTGAGTGGAGTGTACTGTAGAGAAAACAGAGACGTGTTTTATTTGGATAATCCCATTATGATGACAAGTATTTGACCATATGAAAGAGTTTAGTGAAAAAGTGCTTACCGTCCATTTGAGGATGATTGTGGTCTCATTGATGGCTTCGTTGTAGGTGATGTAGGGTCCGTCAATGGGACGTCTGTTTGGAGGCCCGCTGCCCACCACTGTGTAGGCTTTGGAGGGGGCGCTGGGTGGACTCGCTCCCAACACATTAACAGCCAAAACTCTAAACTTGTATGATGTTCCTGTGGAGACACAATGGAAATATTAGGAAGTTGGTAAAGATCATCACAACGATACATGTTTCAGTATGCTAACATAACTGAACATCATTATATGTAACTTTTACAATTTAGGTAAAGAGCCTGGCCAATGTGTTTATAACAGGTTTTTTTGCTGCATAAAATGTTAATTTAACAGGTAACTATATATAACTATTTAACACATACCTATTTTAACTGTACATTTTATGTTAATCTGAACTGAAAGGTTTATTTTGCTGCTTATTCAACACAAGTTTATTTAAATAATTACATTTAAATAACTGTATGTCAGAGTGATTTCTTAATTGTTTTTCTGTTGGAAAAAAACAGGGTTTCTGCAAGTCAAATTTAAGACTTTTAAAGATCTTTTTAAGACTATTATGAAGGAAATTTCAGAAATATACATGGAAAAACAATAAGGATTAATTCTACTGGTCAGTAGCAAAGATTTATACTTGCCTCATTAAAAAAGTTCTAATTTAGTAATTTCTTAGCCACATATTTTTCTTGTATACAAATATACACAAATTCTACTTGTATACATACAGCTAAAGTCAGAATTATTAGCCCCCCTGAATTATTAGCCGCCCTGTTTATTTTTTCCCCAATTTCTGTTTAACAGAGGGAAGATTTTTTTTTTAAACACATTTCTAAACATAGTTTAAAAACTCATCTCTAATCCCTGATTTATTTCATTAGTGCCATAAAGACAGTAAATAATATTTGACTAGATATTTATCAAGACACTTCTATAGAGCTTAAAGTGACATTTAAAGGCTTAACTAGGTTAATTAGGTTAACTAGACAGGTTAGAGTAATATGGCAAGTTACTGTATAACGATGGTTTGTTCTGTAGACTATTGGAAAAATATATAGCTTAAAGGGGCTAATAATTTTGTCCTTAAAATGGTGTTAACAAATTTTAAAACTAGCCAAAATAAAACAAAAAAGACTTTTTTCAGAAGAAAAAAATATTAGCATACTGTGAAAATTTCCTTGGTCTGTTTAACATCATTTGTAAAATATTTAAAAAAGAAAAAAAATTAAAGGGGGGCTAATAATTCTGATATCACTTGCACATGTTTTTCAGCATAACTTTTCTATAGTTTTAAAAACTAAAATAAACTCAATTGACGCACAGCAGTCTGTCCAGGTCAGTGTCCCCACGAGGTAGCTCTAAACAGAGAACTTTTAAACAAATATTATAGTAAGAATGTAAGGAAGATGATTAAACCATGTTGGTAAATAAATGTAACTTTTATTGAAGGTTAATTGTTAGTTGTTTGATTGACCGGGTAGCTTTAAGACTCATTTAAAATGACCTAAAACTTAACATAACCATATTTCAGTGAATTCGTTTTTGAAAGTTTAAACAGCAGACATCCTGTAAACACCTAAATATTCTTCAGAACTTTTTTTTTTTTCTTAATAATGTATCAACCCCCCCCCCCCCCCCAAATTAATTTATTTTGATTGATGCATTTTTTGTAAAAAAAAAAAAAAAAAAAAAAAAAAAAAGACAAAAAATTCATGTTATAAAATGAGAATTCTAGATCACTATATCACCTTATTGAGAATTGTTTCTTTGCTTTTTAAATTACGATCCTGGATCACTATATTACCTTGTTGATAATTGTTTGTTTTTTAAATTAAAATCCTAGATCGCTATATACCCATTTGATCCCTTTACATCACATTAAATCCATATGCATCAGCCAATTATATAACATGCATTATAATATAAAACCAGTTGAATTTTTTCAATAATTGATTTATTATTGTTTCAGTTACACATGAAGAGTTTAGATGCAAAAACTCAAAAGTGCCGTTTGAAATTCATCTAAAACTAGCATTTTTCTCAAGCTGTTGTGTGTAGTTTCAGGAATTTTATTCTAAGTGCAAAAAATAGGTTATTTTCGTTGCCTTTAAAGTAAAATAACTGAAAAAAATAGGAGTTTGCGAAAAATGAAAACTATAGAGGAAATTATTAGACAGGACAGGAGGTTTTTGCATCTAAACTCTTCATATACATTTTAATATTAATAAATTGATCAATGTTTCTTCAGAAGAGACAATCCTAACATCATGATCCAGCACTACACACACTGATAAGCAGGTATTATATGAAGCAGACCTTTCTCCAGGCCGGTGACCTCCACCGAGAGTCGGGACGGAGGGATGTTGTTTACCGCCACCTCCCAGTCTCCACTGCCCTTCCTCAGCTTCTTGTGCTCCACGCGGAACGACTGGATGGGGAAACCGCGATTCCCTCGAGGGATCCACGTCACATAAGCGGAGGTCTCGGTGGCCATCGACACTGTGGGTCTGTCTGGAGCTTCTGGAGCTGCGGACACAAAAATGATGATCAATGACAGAACAAAACACCAGCAAACCACACACATTCACTAACACACCACACACACTTACTGTCATCATCCTTCATTTAGGAGTGTAAAAGATCAAGAGAACAGTAGTGTTAGCGTCACTTGTCAAGTACGTAATCTTATAGTTCCAAAATACTTGTTATTGTGTATTGCAAGTATAAATAAATGCAGTATAGTCCTTTTGTTGTCATTAAAGGAGGGATTGTATACTCACGAGAGAGACGAGGCTGCACCACTGGTGTTTTTGGAGGTCCTATTGGTCCCCCTCTTCGCCCTGCAGAACAATGAGGAAAAACATCAGCGTTATTTCATACTACTACACAAATGTTCACAATATGTTTTAAAAATAAAACTTGATATTTAATTGTTAGGGCTGCACAATATTGGAAAAAATGATTTTACTTCAATACATATTGCGACATGAATATAATTTCAGCAGATGACTTAAACAGCTCAATTTGTAAAGAATTCATCATTTCATATTGCTTGAGATCAGCATAAATGTAACAGGCAGCATTTTATTTTTTATGTTAATAAATAACACTGCATAGTCTTCACTGCATAAAAGTTAAACACAAATAATCTTTGATAAAACTGCAAATGTTATCATTTCTTATACACAAATGGTATAAATACACTTACAATTGTATAGTCTATATAATATAGCTATAACTCAATCAGATTTACTAAGGGATGTATTAACTGAAACTTAACTGGACATTTCATATTCTGTGATGTGATTACTGCGATATCGATGCTGAAACGATTTATTGTGCAGCCCTAATTCTAGATGTTTAATTATGACATTATGTGGTGATTTTTTAATTGAATCTCATTGTTGTTACATTTAAACTACAGTTAAATTCAGAATTATTAGCCCCCCTAAATTATTAGACCGCTTGTTTATTTTTCCCCCCAATTTCTGTTTAACGGAGAGCAGATTTTTTCAACACATTTCTAAACATAATAATTTTAATAACTCATTTCTAATAACTGATTTATTTTATCTTTGCCATGATGACTGTAAATAATATTTTACTAGATATTTTTCAAGACACTTCTATACAGCTTAAAGTGACATTTAAAGGCTTAACTAGGTTAATTAAGTTAACTAGGCAGGTTAGGAGAATTAGGCAAGTTATTGTATAACAGTGGCTTGTTCTGTAGATTATCGAGAAAAACATATAGCTTAGAGGAGCTAATAATTTTGTCCCTAAAATGGTTCATAAAAAATTTAGAACTGCTTTTATTCTAGCCGAAATAAAACAAATAAGACTTTCTAGAGAAGAAAAAAATATTATCAGACATACTGTGTAAACTCCCTTGCTCTGTTAAACATCATTTGGAAAATATTTTAAAAAAAGAAGAATAAAAATCGAAGAGGCTAATAATTCTGACTTCAACTGTATATTTTCAAGAGAGATTTATCCTGTACAACTATTATTAGCTACTTAATGAATATTGGAAACCGGTAGCTATTGAAATCCAAAGTATTTTTTTAATTTCCTAAACCCGGTGGCTATCAGTTTCAGACATTCTTCATTTGTGTTCAACAGAAAAAAAGAAACTCATAAAGGTTTGGAACTCTTTGAGGGCTAGTACATTTTCATTTTTGTCTGAACTATCCATTTAAAGCAGGAAGGTAATCCCGAACTAGCTGTAAGGCTGCGTACATTTGCCTGTCCTGAAGGTCATCATGGCAGGCTGCCCGAGTCCAGCACAGTTCCTAGCAGCCATTTCCACTTCATAGAGGCTGGCAGGCTGCAGTTTGGTTAGTATGAGCTTGTGCTGAGACCCTGAAATAGTGTTGGTGGTCCACTCTCCAGGAGACTCTCCGGCCTGAGATAGATTAAGAAAACACACACACAATCAATCAGATGTGAGGATTCGTGTTTCATACTACACACACTCAATTCTATTCGATCCTGATTCACAAGATCCCTATATGAATTATTCTTAATTTGATTCTGTATTTAATTCAGTCTGTACAGATTTAAAACATACAATATTGATATTTCTAAAAATGATCAGTGAACAATTTATTTTCAGTTGAACGGGTTCATTAAAAGGTTATTAAACCCAAAAAATAACATGATCTCTTGATTAACTGACATTCAATGTATCCTAGGTGTATATGACTTTCTTCATTTAGTCACATGCAGCTATTCTAAAATTCCTTTCCAGCTCTAAAATGGCAACAGTTTTTTCATTTAATTTCTCAGCAATCTAAAAAAACTCCTATAAAATGAATCAATCCATGATAAAATGTACTTCACAGGGATCCAGAGAGTAAATAATAGTGTTCTTCAGTGATTCCATGTGTTTTTCAAAAAAAAAAGTCCATTTATAAAATCATTATCTGTATCTTCTGAAGAGCAATCTGTCTTTTTCTTCTCCTTCTTTTCAGCTGCATTTCTTTTACATTAGCGCCATCAGCTGGATAGGCCTGTGTTGTGTCTTTCTTCACAGCTACTGTGTTCATTTCACCTGCATAAGCTCTTTACACTCAAGAGATAGAAAATGTATTAGATTTTTTGCTGATAAAAATCAGCCGACTGGTGCTACTGACATATATAGTTTTAAATAACTCTAATGAACTGAATTTGACTGAAAAAAGAAAGTCATACTAGGATATGTATCCAAATAGGATTGCTTGTGGGAGAGTAAACTTTAAATTATACATATATTAATGATGCTATGAAACATATTCAGCGAAGAGCAGCAACATTTTTTTTGTAATTTGATACCTTTTTATGGCATAAATATACACTGTTTATGTCGTAAAAATATTGCACATATTAGGCTGCTGTTACTTTACAATATTATACAAATAATAGAGATCGTTTCAATGTTGTTTTCACTTTAGACATGATTAAATACACAGTAATATTAGCATTTCGACACTCTAATGATTATGCCTACAATTCAGTCTCTTTCATGTTTTCACGCCTCATCAAATGCATTTGTTGCGTATCTATTGTATATAACCAGTGTTGTGGCACAAAGGTATTTACAAATAAACCATACTGAAAAATCTCTGTGAATTGCCATTATTATATTTCTCCAGCTCTTCTCCTGACATGTTATAAGAAGGTAAACTTAGAAAAGCACTGGAATACAGAGAATAGGAGAAGTGAGCAGAGCAGTGTTATACCTTTCTGTACTTGATGATGTACTCCAGCACAGGCGCTCCTCCATCATGACGGGGTTTCCAAGTCAGTTCATAGTAATCTGCTTTGCCTGTGCGCGGCTGACTGAGAATGACTGGAGCTTCAGCAGGAGAGACTCGTACTTCAGAGCAGTCGAAGGGCAGCACCGCACTGGTGGACACTGGTGGCTTCAGCGGCGGCTGCTCACGCAACACCTTATCTGGACTCAGGGGACGAATCATGGGCATCTTTCGAGAGGGCACTGAAAGCACACACAGCACAGCAAGAGAAATTATTTATATGCTAAAGGCATGCATTATAGACCTGGATATAAATTATTAAACGAAAGTGCACTAATAATAATACAAATTCTGACCATAATAAATGATAAAATCTAGGGATGCTCCGATCAGGATTTTTACATCTGATACTGAATACTGATTTCTTGTCATGGTGATCAGCCGATTTCGAGTACCAATTCTGATGCTTCAAGTGTTATATAACTTTGCTATTGCATAGAGCACATGATCCCTCTAAGTATAATAGGCCTACTTAAGTTGAGATTTCTCCTTAACTAAGACAATCAATGAGGGATGTTGCATATAATTGTTTCTTATGACCATTTAGCATGGACATGTCATGGTGAGAAGCAGGAAATAGGTCTATAAAGTACTGTTGATTGCAATAGGCATATTACAAGTTTATATATATATATATATATATATATATATATATATATATATATATATATATATATATATATATAATGTTTTTTTATTTCCCTTATATTTCCAGCTAGGTTTTAGTGTAGTGAACTTGCAATATTGTCAAAAACACAGAACATCACTGTGCCTCTCATCACCATGACTTCTGGGCTATTTTATCAAATTTTCCGGCGTTGTGGAGCCACTATGAATATGCGAGAGACTGGCGGAGCTTCTGGGAGACGTCATAAGATTGGACAATAGATAGGGGTGATCGATCCGCTCGCGTTACAACATCTCAAAACACTGGATATACAATGGTTGCAATAAAGAGACCATCACTTGTGTAAGTCGCACCAATAAACTGTATGAACATGGTTCGCGATGCATCTGCATGTATTTTAGCTACGGTGACACTCATGCAGCAATCGCTCACTCCCCACACATCTTTTATCTCCTCGCATGTTGTAGCTGCTGATGTATAATGGCCTATACGGATGGCACGTGTGTCTCCGCTGCTTGTAAACTCATAAACAAAAACTTGCAATCGGCTTATGAGATCAGCCAGATCAGCGAGTACTGATCAATTTATGAAATGTGATTATCTGCTGATACCGAACTCCAGCCGATCAATCGGAGCATCCCTAATAAAATAAATTAAACATTGAAATTACGTATAAATATAATAATCATAATACTTTAATAGGTTTTACTATACAGTTCATATTTCTCATTCATTTATTAAATACACAAATTTAATTAAAAAAAATTATAATAAAAGTGTGGAAATGGACGGTAATATAAAAAATATTATGTTGTTTTGAAAGTGATTAACGATGTTAAACAGTATTTTATAATTGCAATTTATCAATAAAATGTTTTACTTTTATTTTAAAAATATAACTTCACCAGACACTTTATAATAATGATTACAATGATATAACCATAAATCATTAATAATCAGTACTAATTCCACTGCAACTAGTAATATTAATAATTATACAACTAGAAACCTAATTACAATAACTGAATATAAACAAAAGATAATTTAATGTAGTTAAGACTTTTATTATTTTAAAATATACAATTATTTGATACCTTTAAAAAAAAAAAAAAAGATTAATAATAACAATAATAATCGACTAATATTCATAATCACTATCATCATTAATAAATGTCTATGAAATAAAAAAACATTTCATAAACTAATATTTTTTGACTGTTAATTGTATATTTGAGAATAATAATACAGTAAAAATGCTATTATTATGAATGTTTTCTACCTGTAGGCAGAGTGAGGAGTCGTGTAGCTGCCTGTGAGCTGCCCACACCGTTCTCCGCCATGCACTGGTACATGCCATCGTCTTGTGGGCCGACATTGAGCACACGCAGCACCTGTGCAGACACCCGATGGCGGGGCGATGGGCTCAGCGGCTGAGCGTTGTGGAGCCAAACCACAGTGGGCGCAGGTTTGCCCCTCACCTGACAGCTGAAGCGCACTGTATCCCCCCACGCCACGTCCTGCTGCTGCAGCTCCACACGCACCTGAGGAGGCTCTGAAACACAAGAGAAGTAATCAGAACAAACTCTGAACAGCAGAGACCAACAACATACACTGATCATTTAAGTAGAGACACCGCAGGCAAAAACATTCTTCATGCATCTGTCAATTTTGAGATTCCAGAAAGTAAATACACAAATACACAGTCTATTTTTTATTTTGTTCATATAGATTTCAAATAGAATATGTGAAGGCAGTTTTCTCTGAAATTAAGCTGTCATAAATCTCATAAATAACCATGAATAAAAGGTTCTTATGCCTTTTTAAAGTGAAATTTAGGCACTTTTCAAGCACTTTCCAGGTACATTTACAAACTTTTCCAGAACTTTAAGTGGCAAATTGCTTTTCCACATACATACACTGCACATACGTCATTACATTACATCAGATGCTATCTGTTACAGTATTCTATTATATAGTTCAGTAATCGAAAAGGAATTTTAGATGGCATGTTTTTCTTAAGCCCAATATTGAATTATTATTGTCATTTACTCTTCTGTTTGATTGAAATATTAAATAATTATTACATATTTAGTAAGATAAATTATAATGAAAGTTATAATTCAAGTTATAATATAAAGTCATATATAGTATGATGTTTTATTACAGAGGGATATGTTCATAAATAATTTGCTAGATTATATACAGTACTTTAATTACAAAATTTGTAAAAATATTTATTTCTGGCTAAATTATGAGGTGATTCCCAAAAACCTTGACATTTATATGTAAAAAACAAAAAAAGAAAAAAGAAAGAAAGAAAAATATCAGATGAAAGAAAAAAATATTTTTAACTTGTCTTGAATATTTATTAATATAACTTTGTAATAAACTGTTTAACTGTAATAAACAGTAGTTTATGGATCCAATTTGCTATTAGTAAAGAAGTAATGGATTTAGAGGTGTGAATTTGAACTGATTATGCATCTAGGGTGTGCTCCAAACTTCATTGAGACATGGTGAATTCTTCTTCCAACATTTGCAATGTTTCCAAATTACTTTGTTAGTGATTTTTTTATATAACAATTTTATTGTATCTATTCTATCTATTATTTTCTGCAAAGCTGCTTCTGACCATGACACTGGTGGTACACTAAATGGTTATAAGAGATGTGTTTAAGGAATTATATTTAATTATTTATTTATTCTCTTAGGTAAGGCAAGACCTCTACCTGGGTTTTATACTTAGAGTGAAAATGTGCTTAATACATCTTAAAGCTTGAGGCATCTGAAACGGTATAAGCCGACCATCATGAGAATTGGTACTCGGTATCGGTTGCAAAAAAAGAGCATCCCTGATATACATATACATACATATATATACATACATATATACATACATACATACATACATATATATATATATATATATATATATATATATGGAACTTGCCTTCATCCAATGTTCATATTTTTGTGCTGGACATTTATGCAAATTATATACTAATTTACATTATTGATTGTTAATTAAATATTTATTTTCATTTTTATCTATCATTTGACATTGAAGAAAACTTGTAAAACAAAAAATTAGCAAATACTAGCGTAAAGATCTATCAACAGAGATCGATCTCTATAAAATAATTGTTATTATTTGTTTTATCCTATCCACCTGCAGTGTCTTGCCGTAGCAAGACGAAACCCGAGTGCTGTTTGTGAAGGCACGCTGCCGCAGAGGAGTCTGGGATACACTGGGTTCTCTCACCCTCTTCCAAAACTTGATGGTTGGCTGCTAGTGAATCAGCTTGAGCTCATTAGCGGAACAGCAAGAGCGGCTTAATTAATCACAGCTGCCGTGAGCCGAGCCCACAAAAACAAGCTCATCAATGTCTGAGAAACTCAATCTTATACACACACACACACACACACACACACACACACACACACACACACACACACAAGCTCTTTCTGTTCAGTAAATGTACTGTGGGTTCATCTTGATGCTGACTGTCAAGTGTGTTCTCTAATTACCTCAGGTCTGATAAATGCTTATTAGCTCAAAGTAGCGTTAAATGACTGGAAATTGAAACTGTGCCACCACACACATAAGATGTTCCATCAGTACCCTGTTTCTCCTTTCCAAAGCCCATTTCATTTGAACAAACAGCCCGGAGACATTTTAAATATTACTGATAGCCAGTATAGAACAAAAAGTGCATAAACTGTTAAATTAGCACATACTGTCAATATCATAACTATTATAACAAACTGTGTAATAAGTATTTAAGTATATAATCATTCTTTCTGAGATTAAAAGTTGGTTTATATTTTACAAAATTTGTCCAGAGGAGAAATGGTCCTGCTCAACTGAGCCTGGTTTCTCTTAAGGTTTTTTATCCTTTACTTCAATTCAATTCAATGAAATTGAATTGAATATATACAAGACTATATTTCTATACATTTATGAAATTACAAAAGCTTATTTATTATGTTGGCTTTTAATAACGTTTTCTGATGTTTATGTTCTTGAACAAAATGGGGGGCAAAGGTAATGTAATTTTGCATTACAGCTATTATGATGTTTTGATTGAATGGCAAAATGAAGGAAACTGAACAGTGATGTTTTCCACCGAGAGCCAGTTTAATGGGTATAACTAATATTAATATATTTCTTTTTAACTCAGAATATAACTGTACACAGTTATTGGAGAAACACCAATCCACTGGAAATCAAATTTTAACTGGAGGGATAACATGAGAACAACTTGGTATAACTTTTGAATTTTTCATTTTAGAACTTTTTGAATATATATTATATCTTATAATAATTCTTATTTAAAAAAAGTTTTGCTATTAAAAAGTAATTAGTTTCAGTAAGAGTTTTTTTAAACATACTTTAATTTAGCAACCTTGATTGAAACTGATAAAAAATGAACGTAATTGTTAAAAATGTTCAAACAGTTTTTTATGGTAATTTATTTATTCACTTTAATTATGAAACACAAAAACAATAATGAATAATAAATCATTATTACTGATATGAATAATAAAGAACTAATTAATTGTCGTTTTAAATCTATATCTTTTGCTACTAAACTAAAAGCCACTAGAATATAATAAATACATTTTTAACATTTAAAACACAATAAATATTTCATATAATCACTAATTATTTTTATAATTTAATAAGTGCCGGTTAGAATATCATTTATTTTTTAGTGTGCATAAATTGGACACTGAATAATGCCTGAAATTACAACCTACAAAATTTCAACTAAATGTTTCAGTTTTTTTGCTTCTATTGACCTTTCCTATTTTTACATTTGTATTTAATACTTTTCTATAACATATAAATTTGGGTGTACTAGTTTTTGGACTGTTATCGTAAGTTATTTTGTTGCAGACATATAATATTGAATAGCTTCCTATTAAAAACATGAATTTAAAAGATTTGTTTTCCCAGAGATGGGTTGCGGCTGGAAGGGCATCCGCTATGTAAAAACGTGCTGGATGAGTTGCCGGTTTATTCCGCTGTGGTGACCCCAGATTGATAAAGGGACTAAGCCGAAAAGAAACAGAATGAATGAAAGATAGATTTGTGAGGGGTACACACATATATGCGGAGTACTGTATTCACTGTAAAAAATGCAGGGTTCAACACAATTCATTCATGTTGTCCAACACAAATCAATTCAGTTAACAACACTTAACAAATTTATGTGGATTAACATTTAAAAATGAAGTTGTCCCAATGAAATCTCCAGAATTGTGTTGTGTCAGCTCATTTTAATTAGGTAGTTTAAACAGTTAAAAAAAAAAAACAGTTTTTGATGCAGACACTAAATAATGTCGTCTCATATTTGACCTCCATATAAAGCTCTTAATACCCCCATAATCAGAAACTCTTCCCATCATTCTTATCGCACTCACCGAACACCTGCACATCGTACAGCACTTGAGCAGAGCTTGTGGAGCCGATGCCATTATCAGCGAGACACACGTAAGTGCCCGAGTCGCTCTCGCTTGCAGCATCAATCAACAAATTGCTGAGCAAGAATCTGGTGTTGTTATGATTCCTCAAGTCCAGGCCGTCTTTAGCCCATGTGACCTGTGGAGTGGGAATCCCGCTGGCCACACACTCCAGCACAAGCCGCTGGCCTTTATTCACCATAATGGAGCGTGATGCCGGAGGATAGATGATACGAGCCGCTTCAGAAGTTGACCCTAGAAAACACAAGACATTTTACTTGTCAGCAAACATATACAGCAAAGATATACCCGCTTTTTTCTGTAGTTCAAAAGGTAGAGCATGATGCTAACGATATTATGCATGTTTAGATTCAAAGTAAATGTAACAAATGGATAAAAGTGGGAGCAAAATGTATGAATGTGAATGTACATGGCTAAACATGTTTGCTCTTTGTATTTACTTTGCCATATTCTTTTTTATATATTTTATTTTTGTGTCAGGGGAGTCAACAAGTTACAATACAGAATTATGTATGATTTACATAATTAAGAAAAAATTGTGTGGTTATATGACTTCTTGAACATTTCAAAATACATTTTGTAACTTCTAAAACCTGAAAGTCAAATCAAGGGTCTACAGATGACAAACAGCCATTCTTGGCTAATTCTTGCAAATTTTACAGTAATGTTTATTAGGGGTGTAAGGGATCATGGTTGATCCGTGATCCGTACTGATCACAACCCACAGTTCGGAGCGCATGTGACCCGTGGACTAATAACTTTTTTGAATTCATAAATTAATCCAACATTTATAACAATTGTAGAGGGATCACCTCCCACGTCATTCAAATCACGTGTATGAAAGTTGTTGGCTTCCCTGTTAAATGTAATGATGACAAATAAAGTTGTGGTGGGACCTAAATGCTTTTTTAGGTTATTCATTGCAGGTATTTTCTGTCACTGCTTGTGCACCTGTATTACCGCATTCAGTGTAACGCTGCACAATTAAACATTAAAAGATTGTGATCTCAATTCAGTCCTGCGCAACATGAATGATAAATGATAATCATTTGCATGTTTATTAATCCTTCAAAGTGCTGATCGAGAGAGATTCAGTTCTTAAACTTTTTCAGTTATAAACAAACAAATGACACAGAAGTACTGGGAGAACAGTTTATAGTTCAGATATAAACTCTGACGTTTATGGTAAAGATTAAAATCACAGTTTAATGAAACTTGACGCTGTTGAATGCTGTAGCAATTACATTCTGTAAACAACCATCAAAATGATGTCACTGAATAGGTTTTCAAAAATGGTACACCTATGATGAAACATGAGCAAGTTTTATGTGTGGATTGTTGAGTCATTAATTGAAAATAAATATGATATGTTGTAATGTTATGTTAATGTTATGATTTCTATAATTAACATTAACCGCAACAGTAGCAACGATCATTTCTCGTATTGAACATTTTCCTTTTTTTTTCAGTTGGTTCTTTCTTGATTTTTATTTTTTATTCAAAATTACAGGTTCTATGTTCTGTTTGTTAAAACTAATGGCGTTTGCAGTAATATTTTTGAATAAATGAATGACATTGTCTCCTCCCTTTTTTGCTCATCTGAAAAATTGTCTGGTCCTTAAATCAAAAACCGTAGTGTCATCTGAACGGCGAGATTGTTGATTCATTACACCACAAATAGTTTTTTATGTTTATTAATGTGGATTGACCCTGTACACAAATAAACTAAACTAAAATAAAAAAGAAACCCTACATTACCAAAGGAGAAAATGTGAATAAAATAAAAAATAATAATTTAATAAGAACAGTAGGATATAGAACAATGTAAAGGTGACCTTAGTTACATTAACAGACAAGGTGAAATATTATACATTTACTTTAGCATTGTCAAGTTTCCACTTACTCCATAAAATAGCCTCTTTATGTTTTTTTTTTTCATTTTAAAAGAAAAAGTAAGGCTTCCTTCTTCCAAATTTCTATGACAATTGCTTTCCATTCTCCTGAAGTGGAAAGGTTAGTCTGAAGCCATTTACATACAATAGTCTTTTTAGTTGCAACCAAACTTACGTCGTATTCTTAGACGGTCAGTAGAGGTGGAAGTTTTTATTTCCTGCGTGACGGGGTTGTAAGCAGCACAAATATACGGGCCCTCGTCGTCCCGTGTAGCATTGGCTATTTGCAGATTTCCTGAAGGCATGATCAGGTAATTCCCTAGGACACAAACAGAGGACCGATGATTAGCATCTTCAGGATAGACGAGTATAAACAGATTCAACAACAGAATCTGATTCGACAATCTAGAACATTCCTTGGGGTAATTTTCTTCACCATCATTAAACTGGATACTTGAACAGCAGGAGTAATTGCAACAAAAGACAATCGTGCTAACAGGCAACGCTTTGTTGAGTGGACAAGACCAGACAACACACAAAGACTTGATGATTCTCAACAAGACAGGAGCTGTCAAACGCCCAAATACCAGAATCAGCTCATATTCCTTTCAAAAATGGCTTAAATAATTGAAGCACATCAGTATTTGACTTCAAGTTATGTGGCTTGTAAAGAGATCTAATGATGGCTCAGATAAAACAGCGGTAAAATATTTACTATAGTTACTAATAAATACTACTAGGTGAGATGAGCTACTCAAGTAGCTATTAGAAACATGTTAAACAAATTTAGTCAGCAAAATTGTATTCAGGAAACGAACTAAGAGCAGCAGTTTCTACAAACAAGCATTACTGGCCGTTAGGATCTCTTGTGGTAACGGCAGAGCAATACACACTTACATTGCACTTTTTATTATAATCTGAAATTTCAGAAAGTCTATCGGTATCTTTAAGCATCTGTATTTTTGTACTTTGAACAGAGGAGTTTGTCTCAAATCTAAAATCTCTCATTTTCTAAGAAAATATCTGAAGACCCTCTTAGTATGGCGATCCGAAAAGGATGTGACGGTGGGGGACGGTTTCTTTCCATTAAAGCTGTGCGTCAATCATCGCTCATCATTTGCAACCTCTGAATCAGTGAAAGTATACATAAGAATTGACTGATGGACGCACTCCGTATGACAAACTGATCCCAGATCAGCTTCTGTACAAAGCATTTAAAAAAGAGCTAACGTGGAAGACACTTTGGGATTCAGTGTGTTTAAACAGACAAATACACTTAATAATATGTAAACATGTCAGTCCTGTCTGTTTTATTAACTAACACTCTCTTAAATGAGTACAAACAGTTCTTAAAGTAATCAAATGCTCTTATAAATATGTGAAATCCTAAAGGGACACCTCTGTTATCAAAAAAATAAATAAACGAGATTCATTTGCTGCGCCTCACTTGTTTGATAACAAATGTGTCACTTTTAATGGCATGTACAGAAGCTGATCTGGGATCAGTTTATCATGTGGAGCACTTCCATCAGTCAGTTCTTATTTATGCATTAGCTGATACAGAGGTTGTATATGAAGGGCGATGATCAATGATCTTGATGGAAAGAAAGTGAATGAAGACATTTTTATTTTAATTTCAACAATCTTTCAACATATCTTAGACATTACTGATACTTTATTTAAACTACAAAGCTGTTCCTTTTTAAACTTCTCATTTATAGAACTGATAGAACTTAATTATATACTTAATTATAGAACTCAATTTGTTATAAAATAATTGCTGACAGTTACTAAATGTTATCATGGTTTGCATTTTTTTATTACCAATTAATATAGAGGACAAACATACGGTAATTTGAATGGCTTGATTTGTGTTTTGTATTTTCTTTTTAACATTTGTTTGGGAAATAAACAATAACTTTATGAACAACAATAACTGATAAGGAATCTTGCTTTCTGGTAAACTGCTAAAAACTAATCATTTGTATGATTAAAACAAAAATGAATCAAACTGAAAAATAACTGTAAAGCCTAATTGACAGATTCTTGTTTTAAGCATGAATTCAATTAGTTTCTTGAAAACAAGACTTGATTTCCTTATTTTGTGTCAAGCAAATGTATCTTGATTCAAAGATCATCTTTTCCATCTTTTCCCCTCCTTGAAAGTTTACTGAGGTACTCTAGTGGATCACTGGGAGAAAGAAAGCAGTAAAACGCACCTTTAGAGGTCTCCAGCCACTCCTGCTTGACACTGTAGCGGACCTGAGCTTTAGGCTGACTCTCAGGCAGATGGCACTCGATTACTGCTGTGTTCCCTTCATCCACCTCAATCTCCTGCTGGTCGTCAGGCTCGAAATCCCGCAGTTCTGCACACAAACACATAACAACGATTGTAAAAACTTTCTCAATGGAAAAACAGAAAAAGCTATGGAAATCTTGAACATCCAAGAGTTGGTTTTGAGCATGTCGAAGTTAAAAAGGTTCTTTGTATTCCATTCAGGAAACTGAGAAGCTTTAGAGTGCATATGCTTAGAACTTTTACTGGGATATCAAATGGGCAGACACCCAATAGCTCTGAAAAACAGAGACAGAAAGTCTAGCTTCCTTAAGCCCAAGTCAGCCCAGGCTAAAATGAGGTCAAAGGCTAAAGGTCGGCCCATCTCTTGAGTTTCAAGAGAGGACAAGCCGTTTGGATAGCAATAAAACAGAATAACTCTGCCTAAGTGAGTTGCTGTGTGAAGGAAATATTTTCCAAAGGCAAACGGGGGAAAACTGCACAGCGTTGTCCTGAAAAACCCCCGAACTTAATCAAATATCTCCCCGACTGTTCATTACTCCTCTCACAAATCAAACCATTTCATTGTTCTCCAGAGTTTAGTTATATTCCTTGGCGTCTGACGCGTCTCTAAGTTATGTACAACAGAGCCAAATGATCTGTGAGGTAAAGATTAAAACAGCTCTTTGTTGAGTATTCCTGGAAGCAAAGATATACAATGACGAATGAGATGAGCACTTAAATAATCAGGATCTGATAAACTCTCTGCATCTGCACTCTGAAAAGTAATCATCGTCTGATTTTTGAAGTCAAACGATTTTTTCGAATCATTTCTTTGGGAGATGAGAATCCCAGGATATGAGGCTAAGAGCAGGGTGGACAATGTTTTAGGAGGAAAAAAACAATCCATTTGCTAAATCAATCAGGCTCTTTTTACAGCCCACCCCTGCCAGCATCCCCCACTGCCCCACACCTCTCCTAAATTCCTGACTGCACACCTTTAACCCCTCCTCTGGCTGACTCCCTCTCCTCAAAGCATTTCTCCCGCAGGATTCCCTCAGGTGTGTGAGGGGGAGAGTGCGGGAAGCAGAAGAAAGGGGGGAAACATTAAGAGTGTTGTTAAACATTTGAAAAGTAATAATTCTTTGAATGAATAAAAATAAATGATTCTATCCAGCAAGGATAGTGCATGGGGATCATAATAATAAAGTCAATTCACTCTTCTATTCATCATCATTCCACAAAATTGTACAAATATTTTACGCCACATAAACCAGTTCTAATTTCTAATACTGTTTTTCTTGATTTTTTTTTAAAATAAAATGCAGCCTTAGTAAGGATACGATTTCTTTCAAAAACATGAAGGCATAATCATAACATACCACAAAAAACAGTCAAAGGAAAACATCTGATCTCGTTAATACTTTATTATCTAATTGTTCAACAAAAGCACTCCTTATTTACACCAGACACTTTCTTTTAAACAATCCATAATTTCTGGGATTGCTCCATACAGATGAGTGGGCTTGATAAACCACCTGTAGGAGACCCTCTCTCCTCTCCATATGTGCCAGACACGTTTTAATAAACACTCCATTATTCTTAGAAAACATTGTGCAATTCTGAGTGTGCTCCACACAGGTGAGTAGGTTTGACAAACCACCTGTAGGACACATACTCTTCTCTCTTTAAGCACGAGGAGAAAAAAAAATTGTAAACAAACTGAAACTTATAGCCTTTATATTTTGGTGCTGTCTGATGATTTCAAGTGCTATTTTTATCCTCACGTGTAAGTCGCTTTGACTAAAGGCGTCTGCTAAATGGATAAATGTAAATGTAGTGTAAAAGGTCTATACAGCTCTACACTTCCAGTCTAATAAAGCCTTTACATTAACTTTACACATATTCTAGAGCTTCTTCATCTGAGGTCACTAGCATATACAGTCAGACTGATTAGCCTCCCTGAATTGTTAGCCCCCCTTTTAATAACTCATTTCTAATAGCTGATTTCTTTTATCTTTGCCATGATAACAGAAAATAATATTTAACTAGATATTTTTCAAGACACTTAGACAAGTTATTGTATAACGATGGTTTGCTCTGTAGACTATTGAAAAAAATATATATAGCTCAAGGGGGCTAATAATTTCAACCTTAAAATGGTGTTTTTATTCTACTATTCTGCTTTTATTCTAGCCAAAATAAAACAAATAAGGCTTTCTCCAGAAGATAAAATATTATCAGACATACTGTGAAAATTAATTTGCTCTGTTAAACATCATTTGGGAAATATTTAAAAAGAAAACAAAATCAATGGGGGCTAATAATTCTGACTTAGTCTGTAAATTAGAGCTGCATGATATTGGAAAACAACTGACATTGTGATATTTTGATTTTCTGCAGTATACATTGTGAAATGAATATGATTTCACAATATGACTTATAACTGGAAAGAATTCATAATTTTACATTGATTGTAGGGGAGTGAATCTGCATGGAATATAAAAACAAATTACAAGCATAAAATTAAAGCTGCAAGCAGCGATGATAGGGACCTCGCACCCGGGCTCACCGCCGCCCGGTGGCCTCAGGATGACAGAGAACAGTGAACAATAACAATTTAAGCCGATATATATAAAAAACCTGAGAAATCCACAGATTTATGCCAAACTTCCTCCTGTCAGCAGGTGGCGCTATGACTGTGACTCAGTATTGTCATGTAGATGTCTTCAGGAGAATAATTTTATCAACCATGTGAAATTTCAAGCAGTTCTGACATTGTGTGGCTGAGTTATAAGCCAAACTACCTTCTGCCAGCAGGTGGCGCTATAACTGACTCAATATTGTTATGTAGATGTGTTCAGAAGAAGACTTTTATCAACCATGTGAAGTTTCAGGCAGATCGGACATTGTGTGGCTGAGTTATAAGCAAAACTACCTGTTGCCAGCAGGTGGCGCTATGACTGTGACTCAATATTGGCATGTAGATGTCTTCAGGAGAGGACTTTTATCAACCCTGTGAAGTTTCAGGCTGATTGGACATTGTGTGGCTGAGTTATAACCAAAACTACCTTCTGTCACTAGGTGGCGCTATGACTGACTCAATATTGGCATTTAGATGTCTTCAGGAGAGGAATTTAATCAACCATGTGAAGTTTCAGGCAGATCAGACATTGTGTGGTTGAGTTATAAGGACTTCCTTTTTTTATGGCGAAACGTTGAGGTTTGTCATGCCGCCATGGACATGCCCCTCTGCAAAAACTAGATCTTCACAATATATCATTGCTTGAGCTTTCAGATACACAACCAACCAAATTTGGTGCTGATATGAAAAAAATTGTGGGATGAGTTTATTACTTTGTAAATCATGACATTTTCTGTGGCCAGCAGGTGGCGCTATGACTGAATCTGGATATCGGCATGTAAACTTGTTCTGGTCTGGACTCTTATTAAACATGTGAATTTTGAGGCAGATCTGATAATGCATGCCTGAGTTATAATGACTTCCGGTTTTGTGGCGAATCGTTAAAGTTTGCGAGGCCGCCACGGACACGCCCATCGACAAAACCTCTAAAGCTTCGCAATTTAACATCGCCAAGGCCTTTAGATGACAAAACCCAATTTTGGTGTCGATAGCATAAAATCCCTAGGAGGAGTTCGTTAAAATACAAAGCCTGGAAATGGCAAAAATGCCACTTATTTGCCGCAGGAAGTTAAAAATATCTGACTTCCTGTTGGGTTTTAGATATGGCTCCAAGAGACTTTTTCGTATGTTTTGGCGTGTTTGAGTTGTGTGCCAATTTTGGTGCATGTGCGTGATTCGTAGATCAGGGGCTCGTCCGTTTAAATTTTAAAGGTGGCGCTGTCGAGTCATTTTGCCACGCCCACTTCATTATTGTTATGAGGATGTGTTCAGGAGAGAACTTTTATCCACCATGTTAAGTTTCAGGCAGATCGGACATTGTGTGCTTGAGTTATAAGGACTTCCTGTTCCATGGCGAAGCGTTGAGGTTTGTCATGCCGCCACGGACACGCCCATCTGCGAAAACTCTAGATCTTCACAATATATCATCGCTAGGGCTTTCAGATAACACAACCCAATTTTGGTGCTGATACAAAAAAATTTGTGGGAGAAGTTTGTTACGATGTAAAACATGTCATTTCCTGTGGCCAGCAGGTGGCGCTATAACTGTATCTGGATATTGGCATGTAAATGTGTTCTGGTCTGGACTCTTATTAAACGTGTGAATTTTGAGGCAGATCGGATAATGCATGCCTGAGTTATAACGACTTCCTGTTTTGTGGTGAATCGTCAAAGTTTGCGAGGCCGCCACGGACACGCCCATCGACGAAAACTCTAAAGCTTCGCAATTTAACATCGCCAAGGACTTTAGATGACAAAAGCCAATTTTGGTGTTGATCGGATCAAATCCCTAGGAGGAGTTCGTTAAAATACAACGCCTGGAAATGGCAAAAACGCCACTTTTTCGCCGCAGGAAGTTAAAAATATCCGACTTCCTGTTGGGTTTGAGATATGGCTCCAAGAGACTTTTTCGTATGTTTTGGCATGTTTGATGTGTGTGCCAATTTTCGTGCATGTGCGTGATTCGTGGATCGGGGGCTCGTCCGTTTAATTTTTCTAGGTGGCGCTGTCGAGTCATTTTGCCACGCCCACTTCCGAAACCCCTAAAACCCAGCCATTTACACCGCGTTTGGTGTGTGTGCAAATTTTCGTGAGTTTTCGGGCATGTTTAGACCCTCAAAAGTGCCCCGATTGGGGGCGGAATAATAATAATAATAATAATAATAAAAAACGGAGCAATTCCAATAGGGCCTACGCACCGTTTCGGTGCTCGGTCCCTAATAATAAAATAGAACAAAGATAATCACTAATCAAACCGAAAATAAGATTTGAACATTAGAAGTAGAAATCAAAGCTTTCATTAAAGTTGTCAAAAAACTGTTTAACAACACCCATTCTTATCCTAAGACAATTTTTAAAAACATTTTTAAACACTTCTAGTTAGGGCTGCATGATTAATCGAAAAAAAGATCTCAATTCGACCCTACACACGATCTTAATTCAGCTTTTCTTCTATTTACTCAATTATATTTTCAATGTCAGGAGAGAAGCGTAAAGGCAGACACACAAGTCTTCACACTGCTTTATACACATTGCTCAGCAACATGGACACCTCCAAATGGTGTTAAAAGTGTCACATACTGTATTTATAAAGTAAAATTCACCCAAAAATGTTATTTCTCTCTTTATGTAATGATGTATTCGTGACCGCAAAGACACAAGTGAGCTGATGCACTGTTTGTTGACTACTGATCGGATGCAAATGTGCCGCCGGCCAATGATGCCAACTATAGTGAACAAAACCTGCATATGCTGCGAAAACCAGGTAATAAAGTTGTGAATAACATTCAGTTTGTTGAACAGAGTGATTGTTTAGGAGCTGTGCAGGAAGTATGCGTGTATGTTTTTTTTTCTCTAAGTGACAGCGGCCATGACATGAGCACACTCGACAGTGAAAGTGAAACAGAAAACGCACACATCATTTAAATCGTCATATCGCAGTTTAGAGTTATGATAATAACAAGCATTTGATATGTTTTTTCTTTCATAGCGAACACAAAGTGTTAAAAATAAATATTTACTGGGTCATTATTAATACTCTGGCCTATGTTGTACATAATGCAAGAGGGAATCTGATAAATGTCTGATTTTACCAGTGAAAAAATTGTCTAATAATGTTGTCAATGACAAATGACAAGCATATGTCTCCAACATAATTCAACTTGAGAGAATGAATAGTTGTATTATGATGTCATTACTTTACTGTACATTAACAACCAGTACATATTTAATGTCTGTTCAAGTCCACCATTGCAAGTCTATTCAAAATTTAGCATTTTAACCAACAGTAGACCAACACAATAGGCCTAATATTACTATTGTTTATTTTACCATATGTATGAGAATAACAATAATAGCCCACTCATAATAATCTTAATTTTACATCTACAGAATTATGGAAAAAAAAAAAAAATCAAGATCTTTATTTAAAAAAAGTAAATAGTGATTCTTGTTCTAGCCAAAATCGTGCAGCCCTCCCACTGAGCCACCGTGATATGTTGACTTCTAATTGCCATAGTAGAAATACTTAAATACTATTAATCTTTGGTAATGCTACAAATTGTAAAATTGCTAGTGCCCAAATGGTTTAAATATCTTAAAAAGTCACAGCTATTTAAAAAATTATTTCACTATTAGCGTATAACTTAAGGTTGACTATTTCGGATTCACACATTGCGATATCAAAGGCTGAAACAATATACTGTTATATCCTTTATTCCAGTTTCTTTCTCACACAAAGCGATCATACAGTTGAAGTCAGAATTATTAACCCCCTGTTTATTTTTTTCCCCAATTTCTTTTTAACGGAGAGAAGATTTTTTCAACACATTTTTAAACATAATAGTTTTAATAACTTATCTCTAACAACTGATTTCTTTTATCTACAGATATTTTTCAAGACACTTCTATACAGCTTAAAGTGAAATTTAAACGCTTAACTAGGTTAATTAGGTTAACTAGGCAAGCTAGGGTAATTAGGCTAGTTATTGTATAATGGTGGTTTGTTCATTAGACTTTCCAAAAATATTTTAGCTTAAAGAGGCTAAAAATGTTGTGCTTAAAATAGTGTTCAAAAATTAAAAACTTTAAAAGCATGAGGCAAAAACTAAGCTTTTATTCTAGCCAAAATAAAACAAATAAGGCTTTCTCCAGAAGAAAAAAAAACATTATCATCAGACATACAGTGAAAATTTCCTTGCTCTGTTAAATATCATTTGGGAAACATGTAAAAAAGAAAAAAAAATCAAAGGGGGGCTAATAATTCTGACCTTAACTGTATAACATCAGAAGACCCGAAATTTATCCCACATGTTACACAGACTGCTTCAATGGTGAACGAAGCCTGAAAGACCAGTGGCAGACTACAAGTAGAAACTGTGAAACAAATGTTTATATGCTTCTAATATGTTTGTATGTGCGTGTGAGGAGGTAAAAGATGAATGTGTGATTTGTTTGCATGCGGGCGGTACATTCGAAAACTCCTGGAGAGCAGGGAATGCTGGGAGCCGCGCAGGATTAATAGTATTTATAAAATAGATCAGACGAGTTTCCAACTCCACTTGGCGAAGCTTTCATACATGCTGCACGGTTACTTAGCATTCATCATTTTTATGTCTGGGGCCACAGAGCCAGTGCGTGATGGGTTTGTATGACGTTTCAAACTCACACTGAGATGATACAGTAACTATTGTGTGGAATACGGTTGGCCAGACTGCGTGTAGCCCTTAAAGACGACAAAGAAAAACAAGTTCGTCTAAGAGTTTGAGAATTTGTTACACCATGTATTAAAAACACATGTGAAGAGGTGTGTTTTTTGTGTGAGGGAGAAGGGGAAAAAGAGAAAGAGAGAGAGAGAGAGAGAGAGAGAGAGAGAGAAAGTGCTGAAGGAATGTTTCTTGGCTGGAAGGACACGGGAGGCTCGCTTGTCTGTGGAGGAATTCAAGAGGAGAGTTTGAAATAATGCTCAGGCAGGCAACGACCTCCCCATTGGGAGATGCTTCAGACAGGATTCCTACAGAGACGGATACCAGGGAGAGCCAAGCTCTTTCACAAAGCAAAAACAAATGGGCAGAGCTTTGAAATATGGAGACGTGAGACAACTTCAGGCCCGCGATCACACGCAGCGGCCTCCCCGAGGAGCCGTCCAACCCCTGGCAGACCGAAGGAGGAGGTCTTTATTAAATTAGAGCGAGGGGCCGACGTGGGATCTTCAGAGACAGGGGGGCCCCAGTTAAGAGCTTGCATCTGTGCGCCCCTAGCTCTCGTCTTCTACACTCGGAGACCTTATCAATTACATCTTGCTCATGTACAAGAGTCAACGTAAAACGAGGGAGGTTGAAAGTTCGAACTAAATAAATGAGCTTTGAGAAAGTACTGAAATCCAATGCACCATTAAATGCTGCAAGTTTGTGAGTGGAGTCGGGGGGTGGATGATGTAAAGCATGCCTGTTTCATGGAGGTGAAGATGGTGTCAAGAATCTCATGTCACGTCTCATCTTGACAGAAGATCCTGCCTCGACTAGTCCCGCCAAACCTACACTACTCACACTATCACACAAACATGCATGCATGCGCACACGGCACGTCAGAGTCTCTCATGTGTGTGTGTGTGTGTGTGTGTGCCACTTATTCACAGAAATCTGGGAATCTGGGATCTATTTTGCAATTTAAAAGTAGATCTAATGAAAAATTTGGGATTTTGACATTTTTAATGAAAGAAGATGAAAATTGTAATACATTGTTTTACTTTTTCTTGGGTCCTTTCCGGTTTTCTAAGCAAAAAAATAAAAACTATCCTACATTTTTACCATTTACAATAGACACCAACAGGGCTCGACAATAAGGACTGCCCAATGGATCGAGGCCAACGTGCAAGGCTCCAGGGACAGTAGACAGGATTGTTACAATCGGTTTAATTTGGTCAAATGGGTGTAAATACAGTCTTGCATTTACACCTATCTGTTTGTTTCGCAACTGTCTCACTTGCCCATTTAGCAAGGTTCGATTGGCAAATGTGAAATCCGCAATAGCGCTCGGATCCGCGCCAATACAATCGGTCCGAAAGCACCTGAATGAGGTGGTCTTGGCTCGACTGAATTGAACTCTGAAGAGGATCAATTGTAGTGAGAAAGCAAAATTATCCAACAAACTAACGAACCAGGCTACATCATAATTCTGACTTCAACTGTATATCAGCTGAATGATACTTTTGTCACCCATATTTGTCACGAAAGAAGCAGGCAGATATTTTCATTAATAATGTTTTCATTATTCCAGTCTTTAAATTCCTTCAGAAATCAATGTAAAACTCTTATCTGGCAATAAAGTAACATTCATTATTTTAACAGTGTTTAAAGGAGCTTTTCTGTTTAAAGTTTTACTGGAGACCTTGATACATTTTCCAGGATTCTTTAATACACACTTAAAAATCATCTACTAGTAACCCAAGTATTTTCAATAAAAATTTAAGTTGTGATTAAACAAACTAATGCTGACGAAAACCTGAAATATCCTCAAATAATTAATAAAATAAATAGACCCCAAACAGAAGTATAAAATTATAAAAAAAAATAAAAACCTGGACTCAACTCAATCAACTACTAACCAAACACTCTCAAAATTTACTCACTGTTTGTTTCTTTCCATCTCTACATTTGCAAAGAAAAGTTATGAAGAACAGGGAGGAGGCCCTTCACTAATGGGGCCAGTGGTTCACTAGTACAGGCATTATGGTGGGTCATATTACACGCCCCTTTCTGTGCTCCAACACTGACTAACATGAGGCAAACACACACACCACACACACACCACACAACAAAACATCTTTCGCACACAAACACTTTCTGTACAAAAAAGCTTCAAAGTTCACACCATTGCCTGTAAATATATATACAACAAGTGTCTGATGTTTACAAAAGCACTGGTGTACTCACTCGCTGCAGTAACATTGGCCGGCACACTCGCGCAGGACCCGACGCTGGTGGTGGCCACACACTGGTATCTGCCCACGGTGAGGTTTGTAAGGGAGGGGATGTAGAGAGAACCGGGCCGCACCAGCACTCCCAGCTCCTCGTCGCCCCCAGCTGGCAGCTCTTTGCCATTCAGATGCCAGCTGATGTTGACATGGTTAGGCAGGGCACTGCAGCGCAGGGTCACGCTGCCCCCCAGCTTCTGTACCACCGAGAACGGCTCCTCAGTGAACACTGGAACGTCATCTAGAAGAGAAAACAGGACAGAAAAATGGAGGATAAATATATCGGCTATCCAAAACAAACATCTATAATTGGCGCCGGATTTGAATCCAGTTTGCTCTGGTTAAAATGCAGCCAGCTTTATGATGTTTTGGTGGGAACAGGTCTTGATGGAGAAGAACCAAACCCACCTGTAACAGCATTACTATCCTGCAGGCAGAACAGCAGCACACACAGGGAACAGAGCACTCGAATCTTCCGCTTTCTTTCCCAGGGAATCCAATTCAATGTCCCAGACATCTTCCATACACTACCCCTGTCAGAGAGAGAGAGAAAAAAAGAGGAAAATGAGGTTAGCTCAACTTTAAATTGTGCATTTTGTAAATATAAATGTGAGCTAGCACATACACAACCTGTAACCACACATCCATTTTAAAGTAGAAACACACTATTTACTGCAAAGTTCTTGCTTTTAAAAAGAAGCATGTAGAGTAAATGAAGAATTATTCAATATGTCAGAAAGTTAGACATCACTAAGTTTTCTTTTTTTTTTTGTTTATTGTTCTTTTGTTTAGCTAGGATGCATTCAAATGATCAGAAGTGACAGTAAAGACATTTGAAATGTTACCAGATACTTCTATTTCAAATAAATGCAGCTTTTTTATATGCCATGCAACTAATTCAGAAAAAAAATGCATTGATCAATGCAAAAACATCAAGCAGCACATTTTCAACAATGATAATAATACATGTTTATTGAGTGTGTGTGAATAAATAGTTTGTTTTGATCACGTAAATGCAGACTTGATGAGAATAAAAGAAAACTTTAAAAAGCAAAAGAACCAATCTTTTATATATCAAAATATATTTGAATTAAATACAAAGGATTTCATTGTATCTAACTAACTGAATCAGTGAATTTAAGTTAAAATCAGTTAAGATTGTTGTAAAAACAAACAGACAAAATTTTTCCTCTATGAATGTAAAAACCAACTACTTTTGAGTGTAAAGTACAGGAAAAATTTTTAGTAAGGTCTCAAAAATTTATATGAATATCACTACAAAGTTGGCATGGGATGATAACCGGTTTCAAGGTTTACTGCGGTTTGGAAAAGCCAAGGCTTTAAAACGGATACATTTTTTTTGTTATACTGTTCCTATGGTATAGCTATGTTTTTTTTTTTTTTAATTTTAGGAACAAATCACTTAAGCCACCTTTCCTCTGCAAACAAAATGCCCCCTTGTGGCAGTCGCACAGAATTTTCAGTTTTTTCATGCACCATGGGAGAGAAGCTGTTCTAACAGTGTCGAAAATAAAGGAGTGCAAAAGCATAGAGTCTGTATTCTCTATGCATTCACCATGGTTGAATGAATAAATGCAAAAAACTCATAGACCACTAAAAATTTTGGAGGGAATGTGGAGACATTAAAAATAATATTTATAGATATATAATAGAAATGTTGCTTTTTTATGTAGACTTTTCTGATTAAAAATAACGAAACAAATACTATTTCTCATCTCGCGTGCACGGACATTCTTGGACAACCCTGGAATACATCACATCCGGTGGGTCACGGTCTAGTCGCAGGAGTTCAAATATTTCATCGTATCCGCATCTCAAATCGGACCAAACGTTTAAAAAGATTTTAGAACAGTAATCACAATACCGTGAAACCGTGATATTTTTTTTCCAAGTTATCAATCATACTTCAGAGTCCTTAACCTGCCCATGCCTACTACAGAGCAAGAGATCATGAACTTCAATGTAACAACTGTTCTAAACTTTTTTAATTTAAAACTCACAAGTAGTGTCCCCTTTTCAAGATCCTCTTTAAGACTCAAAAATGGCTTTCTGCTACTCCTGAAACAATCATCCCTTACATGTTCACAAAGCACATGCTGAAACACACATCCGCTTGAACCCCCATCCAGCGGGTCGAGCTGTTGAGACGGGTGCCCGGATAAGACGAGGGGGAAATCTGAGTCCCCTCACTCAGGTGTAACTGATACAGGCGGCTTTAAAAGCAAAAAACTTGCACAAAGAACAATGGGGTGGGGGGTGATATCATTTGTATTTTCTGGAAATACTGAGTAGCGTAATGTGATCCCGGCAAAGTCACAACCGGGGGAGAACAGAGTGAGAGCAGAGAGAGAAAAAGAGTAATGGTTAGTGTATTAACAGTTAATGCAGGAAAGGGAGCGTTTCTCTCCCTCGACTCTCACTGCCAAGTTTCCCGAATTCTTTCCTGTCAGGTTAAACTAACAACTTCCCGTCAGGAGGAGGAGGGTGGTCCATTGCTCCCAGACTGCAAATCTCTCTCTCTCTCCCTCTCACACACACACACACACACACACACACACACACACAAACACACGCAACTCTACTCCCATCAATTGTAAGTAATGATTAATGAAGCCTCACAGAAAGATTGAGCGCTCAAACATGGGAGGAACCGCACAGCGCAACTCTCAGGGAAAAAAATGGAAAAACTCTGCAAAAATAAATGAAGTCTGAGTCTTGGGACATTCTGAGTTGTTTTTCTGGAGCTGGTAGGTACATAGCCATTAGCTATTAGCCAAACTCTGCTGACGGAACAGAATGTGTGCCATTTACAGACTTTGGGGTTGGCCCTAAATAAATGTTTTTCCATTTCCAGCACCAGAAATAAACAAGTCATGCTGTCTGCGTAACGCTGCAGAGAGAGATGTTATTTACTGGGACTGATTTGGAAATGCTGGACTCATCATTTTAATTAGCTTATGTGCTAAAGCGCTGATGGATTTCGTTGACTGCTACAACATTAGCTTGTTTGTTTCTCGTCTCTGAAGTGGAAACGGCGTGACGCTGGTTCCAGGCACATAGGCGAACCTCTCTGTGTAGCTAAGATCATCCTGACCTAAGCAAACACTCAACTTGACGAGCTAGCCAACAACAACTAGCTTCTACCACATTAAGCGAACACTTAGTCAAGTTCTGAATGTTTAGTTAAAAGCTCTGTGATTCATCAGCTTTAATCAGGTCAATGATTGGCTCGAGTCACTGGTCTTTTTACTTTTAAAATGAATGATTTACTACCATATTACAACAGCTGACACTGCTATTAATACTATAACTACATCCATTACTACAACTACTACAGGCAAAGAGGATTGTTTTCAGATGCGTTTTGACTACAACCATCACTCAATCAATGAAAACAAAAATGGAAATAAATCTTTCCGAAAACTTCCAATGGATCCTAGCAAAATCATTGTTAGCAGGACTAAGGGGGGCCAAGTCGGAGCACTCACTCTGGTCCCCCGGGCTCTGCGCTGGTTGGGTAAATTCAAAATTGAACCAAATCAAATCATTACAATTGGCTTAAAATTCAGGACATTGCAACCTGTAGAACCTGGGAACTTAAAAAAATAAATAAATACAAAATCATGGGTAGCACTGCTGCTTTGTTGCTGCTATACCGAAAAGCATTGTTAGCCTAATATGGTCAACAAGTGAATAAAAAAAGACATTTAAAATTAATATTAATCGTAAACTTATGAACTGTAGCTCTCGACCTGTGGTAATAAACATAGCTTCATGCTAATAAGGCAAAGGAATAAGATGTAAATAGCAACTATTGTACTGTGGTAGTGAGGTTTTATACTTATGAATATCTTTAAATATGTACCTTTATATCTGAATCGAGGTCCTTCCTCCCTCAACTCGAGCTACTGTCATGTCCCAGCAGGCACACAACATCATAAGACATTAATATTAGGTTAGATTTAGGTCATGACATCAGGTGACCAAAATACAGTGTCTAGCCAGCGTCTAAGGACAACATCATTTTGACGTCCAATAACGACATCAAATTACGTTGATATTTGTTTGATTTTAGGTTGTGGAAAGTGGCCAAAATCCAACGTCTGATAGATGTCATAGTGTTAACATCCTTACAACGTCAAGGTGCAACATTATTAGATGTTGATATTTGGTTGATTTTAGGCTAAATGTTGGACATTGACGTCAGCCTGACATTGGATTCTGAAGACAACCCAATTTTAATTTTCAAACAAAATCCAATGTCCCCGCGACGTTGGGGTGCATTGGGATACAATGTCATTATGACATCCTGTGCCTGCAGGAGTATATACTTCTAAAAGAAAAAAAAACTTATGTGCAGCACTGCCAAAGGTGTTGGTGCCACCATCTGTAGAAGTTAGTACCACTGATCTCAAAATTTATTGTGGAGCCCTGGTTCTACCTAATAGGGTTTGAGTAACGGTTGTGTAAAATAGGAAATCTAAGTTTCTTCAACAGTGCAGCAAGTTACTTTGCTGTTTTGTGGAAAGAACCTCCAGTTCAGAACTTAAGAACAGATTATTCATTGACAACAATTAACTTAACTGGCACAGAAAAACTACTTTATAAATGTTTCAACAATTTTGGAGCTTATAAAGAACTTAATATTTAATTAATATATTCTTCTCTTTAAATTATTGATGTTTTCAAAGTTGCTTAAACAATCAAACAATATGAGAGTAAGTCCATTTTAATTTATGAATTAATTTGATGAATGAATGAATTTTATTTTGTGAATTATCCATTTAAATCAGCAGTCACTGCTGTCTACCTGTATGAATCATTGAGCAAATAAAATATTGAAAATACTCTTAACTTGCAAAACTCTAGAATACTTTCAGACTGTTCAGCAAAGTCATTACACTGTAATAGCAACATATTCCTAAATAATTTTAGCTAAATGTTAGTCAAGTAGACAGCTTTCCCACAACCTCACATTTTATAGCAGTCAACAAAAGTACATTTGAAAAAAGTAAATCAATTTACAAACTGCTAATGTTTGCAAGACACAAAAACACATGTAAACTGATTCAACTAGACAACAGAGATTGTTAACCAACCCAAGGCTCTTGCTCTAAATTGTGACTAGATGTTAGCGTCAGAAAAAAAATACCGCATCTACACAGACTTGTGCGCTTGCTGCACCCAACAAAGCTGTGCTGTCAACATGAACAGGACAGCTGCCCAATAGGTTTGGAAAGGCGGCAATAGTCTCTCCCTGGCTGTCAAAGCACCTGTCTCAGGCGTCAGAAGTTATCCCCTTGAACACACACGCTTTATTCAGACACATATGCGCAATCCAGCTCATGTCATCGGCTCTGAGGCAAACACTTCACATTCATATCAAGTCACAACTACAATGGAAAATCATTCACAGCACTGCCATTTCTTTTTCTACTTCTTTACCAAAGACACAGCGGGAGACAAACGATACTGTAAAACCAAAAACACGCTGAGCTGGAAGTACGTGACC